GGGGGGGGGCGTGCATAAGCGCACCAGCGTGCCTATCGTCCCTGTAGTCCCCATTTATTCATACCCATTTCCTGTGTTCCTGTCCGTGTTTATGCTTCTACATGTTATCTCGTACAGGTTTGGCAAACTAAATAAATAAATAAGAAGGTCCCCAGAACATCTTCCTACTGTCAGACCAGCCTGTCCTTTCCTCCCTCCCTCCCTCCAGCACTTCAATCCTATAATTCTAGTTCCAGGCAGAGCGCTTCTATCCATGGGCCACAAACATCTGTAGGGGCTACACATCCGATGGGTTAATCAATTACCTGACCCTACCTGTTTCAATTGAGTGTATCGGATAGTGTATTGGTTGCACCTTTGCTATCACAGGGTGCCGCTCTCCATCTCAACTACGCACTGTGATTCTTTCCACTGTATTTCCTTTCACAACTGCCCCACAGTTTTTGCTATCTGGCTCCTTCGTCTAGGGGAAACAGTTGTTCCTTAATCCCTCTTTGGTGGGTCTCGTTCTCTTCCCGACAGTAATCCTACCCATGGTAAATAAATCCCAGTGAAATCAGTCTCTTCTTCGCGGCTTACCTTCAGAACCAAGAAGAAATCCTTTAGTTACTACTTACCCTTAAGATCGGATCATAAATCAGTAATCAATTAACTTACTTAGCTGCACAGTCCAAAGATCTGGAGATAGATTTGTTAGCCCATTAAAAAAAAACCCTACTCTCCTCCCCATTCCCACCCATGTGAGAGTTTTATTATCTTTCCGCATCCCACTGTTTCTACCTACCTATTTGCAGGAAGAACTTCATTTTCTCCCCTTGGGAACTGAGAAGAAAGATACCAATCCAATCAAAGTCAAAATCCATTTCCCAACAACTACAAGGAATGGGGTGATGAGGACATAGCAGATTGCAGAAAGAATCTGCCGGAGGGCTTGCTGGAGGCTTCTTAGTCCTCCTGAGGTCCTCTTGATGTCCTTCAGATATGAAACACACCTGGTTTTAGACTCCTTAAACACAGAACAGGTAGAAGCAGAAAAGGCTACCTAGGATTAAATGCCAACGACGCATCCAAGTTAGGGTCAGGAGCAGAGAAGGGCTAGAATGGATGTCAGCCTTTTCACTCTCTACAGCTTCTTCAAGTCATATTTTGAGCAGAGCCTTCGGTGTAACCCTTGTAGAGAAATGCAAAAATCCCCCTGATCTTTTCTTTCCAAGATCACCTCAGTACGCAGGAGCAGTTGAGGAAAAAGAAAAGCTCGTTCAGTGTTGGAAAAATGGAAAGCATTTGATTTTATTTGATAGAAGAAGGAATAGAAGTAGACTTTGGCAGGGTTTCGAGGTTCTAATTATTATAAGCTATAACAATAAAGTGGAATCCCAGTAGTCCTTGCAATAGCAATAGCAGTTAGACTTATATACTGCTTCATAGGGCTTTCAGCCCTCTCTAAGCGGTTTACAGAGTCAGCATATTTCCCCCAACAACAATCCGGGTCCTCATTTTACCCACCTCGGAAGGATGGAAGGCTGAGTCAACCCTGAGCCTTGCAATGCCTGGATCTCCTTAAAAAACAGAAAACCCTGTAAATCATCTGTCAGGTTTCCGAAAAAAAATGCCCTAATTAATTCATGAGCCTCGAGCCAAGTTTCAAAAGAAATCCAGTCATTTATTAGGAACACCATTTTGGCAATACCCCATTGCAGTCAGATCTGGCCTCATTTTAATTATGGTCACCAAACCACCACAATCCCATAATTTTAGATCATGTGCTCAGCAAGGACTGTTCCTTGTACTCCAGGTAGCGTAAAACATGCTGATGGTTTACAGGAACTTTGAGATTGCTCT